ATATAGTGTCCTTCAGAGTGGATTTTATTTTTTGCTTTTTTCATGCTCTATCTCTCAATAGTATAATGCATAGAATGTTAGAACTTCACATGCTGCAAGACCATAATTTCAAGGAGAATTTCAAGGACTATTTTTAAAAACTGTAAGTTAATTTTTTTTTCAACACCTTACATTTGTGTCTGACTTGATCTAAATACACTATAGTTGCAGTATTTGGGGGAAACAGGAAAGTTAAAGCCAGTGTGAGAATGTCAAAGTTTTTGTGGACCTAAGTTGTTAAGCAAATCGTAAGAGACTTCAACCTTAGGCCTTCAGCCCAATCCTTAAGAAGATGCATTGGAAAAGCAAACTAAGGAAACTAAAATCATTCTGTCCACAAAGTGTAGTTATTCATGGAAAGCTGAAGATCGCCTCTTGTGTGTTGTTGTGAGGAGGTTCTTTAACAAGGAGTACTCTCTAATATTATTTCAGGAAGTTGGCTATGTATGGTTTAATGCTGTCTTGGCAGACTTGATTTCAAGATATTGGGGGGCGGGGGAGAGAACTTGGGGAATGCCTGGTTTACTTCCTGATGTAGGCTGCTCAAGAGTAAGTGCAACTTTGTGGTCATTTTAAAGCAATCTAACTGCTAGCTCTCTTCTCCCGGCTGACACTAGTAACCATGTGACAGCTTGAATAATAATAATTAAAAAAAAGCCAAATCAGTGAGCTGATCTGGTTGACTGCACAACTTCGCACTCCCCAGTGCTGGCACAAGGAAAAGTGAGGGAGCAGGCAAGGCTATCCGATGAGGGGGTGACAGCAGCCTGCAGTTGGATTGACTTAGGCAGACTGCAGAAATGTACTCTAGATAAATAGGTCAGTTTTCTGGCCTGTAGATTCTTTGCGATGTCACTAATCCATATGTAGTATTAAGTTGCTGGATTTTTAAACTGCTGACCTTGGCTAATGGTAATTTTTGGAGCTTGTGAAATGCCACGTTAAGAAATGCTGGTGATATTTACCTGCTGGAGAGAATTATGCCTTCTTTGCATTCCTAATCTTATACCATCTCAGGCACTGACAGACCAGAACTTTGTTCTTCTGAGTACTTAGTGACATGTCACTTTTTTCCCTGCAGTTTGTGTGTACTTAAAGTTCATTCAGGTGGTGAAACCACGTTTGTTATAGGTCAAGCACAGGCAGGTATTCGCAAGCGTCTGCCACACTTTGGTACAAGCGCGTGTCAGTGCTGGCTTGTGGTGCTTCCTCTAGTCCACTCTCGTGTGTTGGCTGCAGTCTGGGTGACTTGTCCAGTCCTGCAAGATGAGCTAATGAAGTCTGGGATAAACCAGCTTCCGTCTTTCACTGGTGAGTCTATGGCAGTTAAAAGCTGAACACCTTTTTACAGGTCTTTATGCCATCTGAGTGTTTTCTGCTTTTAATTTTTGGATATTCAATGTGTAACTCACCATTCTTGCAAAGCTTTTCTGGTATGTGCCAGGAATGTCTGTAAACTGTGCGTGTTCTTTTACAGATTGGCGATAGTGAATATGTCAAAGTCTTATGAGTAATAGTGATTGTACATGGCATGGAAACCGTTTCTAAGCTTAGATTTATATGTCTTTTTCTAAAATTGGCACATTTTTGAAGATGAGGTCTCAAACTTCCTTAAATTTGAAAAGTGCTGCTGGGTGTTTTTTTTCCCCAGTATAAACATGTATGGCTAAAGACCCATTAAAAGCGGGTCAGGTTAATAACAGTTAGTGCATGCTGGCATATTAGTACTGAGACATCTTGGCGCTTTTGGAAAGATGGTAAATAAGGACTGGAATAATTCAAGCAATTTAATGGAAACTATTTTCCCATTAAACTTTAAACAAACAAAAAAAAGTGGTAGGATATGTGTAATGAGAACACAGCAATAACTACCAGTTCTCTTTGTTAAAACATTAGCATATTTGCTTGCAAGCAGGCTGAGTAAACTAGTATTCATGATGTATTTAGAGTTTTTTTAGGACTCTCCATGGTTCTTGTAATAGAATTATCAGCTTATTGACTAAGCAGTCATATTTGCCTTTTTATTATGCCTGTAAAAACTGAGTTCTCTTTAGCACATGATTTTTGAAGAAATTTACATTTCTTGACAGCTATATTTAGTCTGAAATGCTAATGTATTTTTGACTGCTTTTTAAACTATGCAGTAGTGCAGTCCATCTAAAGGTGGAACAAATTTCTTAAGCTTTTTTACCCTTACTTTTCATAGGAAATACAAATAACCCCCTTAACAAACACAACGTGATTTTCCCCCCCCCCTCCTCTCCAGACTCTTTAAAATAAGTAGGAAGCCTGTATTATAATATTTATTTAACCTGCCCACACAGTAGAGCAAAAGAAATTTAAAACAAATGCTATGTCATGCTGGGAAATGTAAATCAGGTGACAGATTTTGATCCTAACTCTGTGGGATACTACCCAACTACTTTGCATATATCAAAAGAAGTGCACGGTGGCAGCTGAAGTTGAGCAGTCTTGCCAGTCGTGGGAAGCCTGTTGAAGCGCGTGGGCATCCACACAGACGTGAAGGTGGCTCACAACTGGAGCAGTTTGTACAACTGGGGACTTAGAGCATGGGGGTTTTATCTAAATGAGGATTGTAGAGAGATCTGTATGGTCCTTGGCTGTCTCAGTATAGCCCGACACAATAGACTGTAGTTAAAATAAAAAAGAGGAAAAAAAGAAAAACAAGGCATGAAAAAGGACGTACTTACACCATTATAAACAATTGTAATAACAATCTGAATAGAATTTTTCCTTTACCAGTATCCTGGTCCCAGACAACCAGTTACTGGTAGAACGTGTTCATTAGTGCACATTCTACAGATTCTTCGTAAAAAGTGAATCATCAAGATTCATTGTAGTGGGTAGAATTGCCGTGGGGTGAATGCAGGAAAAAAACTACTAGAAAAAATTCAGATGAGTCTCAGCTTCTGTGCAAGTCTATTTAAAAAGAAAATAATACAAAGTGTGGCAGTCCTGCCATTTGGCTACGTGTTTCATATAAGCTGAAGAATTCTGCCTTTACTCCTTTATTGCGCTTTAATAAAAGCCAGTGCTGATGATCCCGTGTGCTACTTGGTATTGAACAAGCTAGTAGGGGTATCTTTGGACCAGTGTTACAGAATGGGACAAATAAGAAACATTTGTTTCTTACCAGTATTATGTTTCTACTTTCCATTTAGTTGCCCTAGTCTACGATTTAGCCTTTTCCGTGGCTTGTGTTTCTCTTTGCCAAAATAACCTTTATTTTCCTGTTGTACACTTCTTCCTTCCTCTGTGTGCTCTGTCATTCCCACCTGCTATTGTTTTTTCTCTCCACTTTCCTGCTTTTTTTATTCCTTTGTATTTTCAAAAGTAAAAATGTCTGTATGATGAGGACTTCCCATTGTCCAAGTACTCTTTACAAATACACAGAAAACACTGTTAAACACTGCTTCCCAGCCCATGTTTACCATTGTTGAGACTGACCGAAGTGGGATCTGTGACCGAGGGGGGACTTGCCATTACAGCAAAGCCCATCTAATAGCTGGCTTTGCTAAAAAGTGGCTTTACCCGTCCTGCCAACCGTCCGGTGTTGTCACCGGATTTGTCCTGATGCTTGTCTGACCTGTGGTGACCTGGAGCAGAGAGCTTGCTTGATAGACAACCAGCTTTGCTAAAAAAGCTGTTAGTTTTGGGCCATTATAGTTTCCTGAGCGTGGTGACCATAGGATTAAACAGTTGTGCAAGGGTGGGAATGTAACCTCATCCTTTAACCAGCCACTGCTTTGGGTTAGCAGTACTGTTAAAGCCTTCCTTAACCTTGTTCGCATAGCTCTGTTCTTGTTAGTGGCATGCCCACATCTTGAGTGAACAAAAAGACTGGATTTAATTTTTTATATTTTATACGCTTGCATTAGGACTTCTACCTGAAAAAAAAAAAAAAAATATTTACCCCTGAAGTGGTCAGGCAGGTGGACTAAATGATCGTTGTAGGTCCCTTCCAACTGAAATAATTCTATATGTATAAAAAAATACACACACATATATATAAAAATGTTTCTAACTGGAATAACTGTCCAAGAACATGGAGCATGACTGAAACTGAAGACACAGCCTTTCATTTCATTCTTGTTTGTAGCTAATTTTGAGTCCCTTAAAGTAGCATGCTTCACAGTGATAGACACGACAGGTTTCAATAATATTAAAATATTTTCCTTGAATATGTTTTCAGTACTTCATTTAGTTTGTCTGTTTTCGTATTAAAAGATGGCAAATGAGTATGTGCTATTACTACTTTAGTATTTCATGATTTCTCTTGACAATTGTTCTATTTTACAAAGGCCATTGGTGTAACTAGCTTATTTCTGTGCAGGTCTCTAATGATAACATCCCCCCTCCCGCCCTTTTGTTGGACTACATCAGCTGGGAGGTTTTTTTTTTTCAAAGTATTGTCTAAAATACTTTCAAAACCAAGATGTGATTGCGTTTCATTGTGTAAATTAGACTTAAAACTGCCTCAGAATTAAGCATAAAGCTTTTGTGTCAAGGTAATCGTTAAGGGATCAGGACCCATCCACAATCCAAGCTGTAGCCTGCTAAGGGGGGGTGATAGTAGTGTTGGCAGTTAATATAATCATGCCTTCTGACTGTTCTGATATAACACTGTTCAGCTGTAATTTTAATTTCCTATACAGAGTGGTACAAAGTTATAGGCAAGAGATCAGTTGGCCAGAGCAGATGAAGGAATTGAAGCAGGTCAGCAGAATGTGCGGCTGTCATTGCCGTAAGAGTTGTCTTCAGCTTTGATTTCACAACTTGCGGAAGAATGTTGTACCAGGTTTGGAGGAGAGACTTTTGAGTGTTATAGCTTATATGAATATTCCACTAGACAGGGAAACAACTTTAGGCAAGAGGATTCTGACAGCCCTAGATTTTTGAGGTACACGAGGAACGATCAATCATGCAGAATTCTTGCTGTGATGAATTGTGACGGGAAGAGAAATCCGTACAGAAAGGTAAGTGATGCTATTAATCAACAACAAAAGAACTGTCTGAGTGTTGGAAAAGGGTCAGAAACCTGGAGTGGTCAGGAAGGTTTTACTGGGAGTTGCATGCAGCTTTTCAAAAGGACTTGAGTAATGGTCTTGAAAGCAGGGAGAGTCATTGCAGATGGTGGCTGATGCCCAGTGATGCTGAGCAGATAAGGGGCAGCAGCTAAAACCTAGAAAAGATACTTCTTGATGTTGGATTCTCCTTCTTTACTGATTTGATTTATTTTACTGGTGTCTTTTTCAGCATCTTTGAGAGCTTCTTCCTTCATCTAGGGCAGTCCGTGGTTTGCAGGCTCTACTAATTATAAGGCAGTAGGAGTTTAACCATAATAATGAAAGTGCAGTACTGCGGATTGCCTTTCAACCAAAGCTGAGCTTCGGCAAAGACCGGCTAGGATATACCTCTTATCTGTGAAAATTAGATGGTCTTCAGACTTAAACTGTTGGTTAGGGGCCAGTTAAGTGATGTCTGTCTGTTTCACTACATTCCTTCTGGTGAGGCATATGCAGGTTGCATAAGGTAAGTTGTGGTGCTGTGTTTAAAAACCACAGTCTTTGTTTTTGTGCAGATCTTGAGCATAGGCAAGTCTCAATGTCAGGGCTGTTAAACTAATTAAAAAATTTATATTATTAATTTTATATTAAGCCCTAGCCAAGGTCACCCTTTCAGGAAAAAGTCCACATGTAGGTACATTTGCACATGTCAAAAAGAAGAACAGGTATAGCTATGGCAAAATATTGACAAAATAACCATAACTGTTGGCAGAGTAACTCTTGATGTGGTTTGGATATTGGTTACCAAGAAGCTCTTTGTAATGTAGGCACGTTTCACCTATTCATTCATATCTTCAATTTATTTCAGCTAGAGATTGGCTGTAGATGGGGAAGGGAGGGCTTTGAAGCATGATTTGTTCCCTTTTCTCTTGCTGGTTGCTCCATTCTAGGACAGTAGTTGAAGTGCTTTAGATAGTCCCTTGGCATTTCATTTGTGCGAATACAAAATACGGCAGATATGTGCTGTGAACCCCCTCAGCGAAACAGCTGAGGTATCTTTTAAACTTGTCTGTCAGTGAATCACAGTCTAGTTTGGGAAAATCTGTCAGAGGTGAGTGGCTCCTCTTGAAAACTTTGGAATTGTGGGGATTATTTTTTGCATTCCTTCTCCTTACTTTTCTGTCTTGTGAGTACTGAAGATCATGTCTTCCAGTGAGTTGTCTCTTACTCTGTAGAACCTACCAAGTACTTAGCTGCAAGGAGTGCTGTTACTCTATCCAGCTGTGGCATCATCAGTTGTTTTCTTAGCAAAATTCTTGTATTTGGTCTCATAAAAAGAGAAACTTTCAGTTGTTATTTGTCTGCTGGGTGCTTCAGACAGTGTGGAAAACACGGTTGGTGAATGAGTTTCTTAAAATGAGACCTCTGCTTGGGTTCAGTCTACATTAATAGATTTTTTTTTTTTACATAATTTTGCATAATGTTTGAATAATCTTGCATTGTTAGTTTTAAAAGCCTTGGAGGGCTGTCAGGAAATCTGCAGAATCACTCTTTCAGTAGCTTGTGTACTTGTCTCAGATTAAATGTTTTCTTTATACATTATCTTTCAGATACTTATTTTGCAGACTAAATCCCATTGGAAACTGTACCTTTTTGGCTTATTGAAGACTAATGTCTGGAGCCAATACTGACATTTTTTTCTTGTTCAGAACATCTGTGGCATCTGTTGTCTTTTGGGTTTTGGTTTCCTTTGGACTGTATATTGCTAAATTCTTGCCTACTTATTTTGCACAGCTTACAGCTGTTGGGACTAACACAATTTCCTGCTTCTAATGCATTTGAAAGGAATATTTGTAATGTATTGTTAAGTCCCCTTGACCAAAGTAGTGATGAATTTGTTTTCATTATGCTCCAGATTAAGGCTTTTAAATTCTACAAATAGAGTAATAAACCCACTTAAGCGCTTGTATGCTCCTGGAGTATAGCTTAAGCTTTTCAGAGTTTATTGCTCTTACTATTGTTTTTATACTTGGACAAAACTGGCGTTTTCTTGCTTTTTGATGAGTGAATTATGCTTTTGTATATGCGGTGAGACAACAGGGTTATGGTAAAACACTCTTGGGTCAACCTTCAAAGGATACAGTTCTATAAATATCATCCTTTTGTCTCAGGATTTCTACTTTCTACTACCAGGAGCTTTTATTATTACAGCTGGAACATGCAGAAATAATTTAGCTACCTCTCTGTGTCTTTAGCAAAGACCATTTCAGTGCATTGTAATTCCCTGTTTGTACTACCATTTTAGGTAGTATTCAAAGAATTGTTTTGAGTGGCTTAATGTTTGTTTGCTTTCTCAGAAATGCTGTCCCAGATTCAGTTCAAGTGGTTTCCAGAATAACTTTACTGATACTAAAATCCTTTCTAATTCCACTACCAAGAGCTAGCAAAACCTCAGCGTGCAACTGTGTGTCTGGGGGAAGCACTGGATTTTTCTTGTGTGTCTTTGTAAAAAGAGGGTTAATGTGAAATTGATGCTACCGGTACAACTGCAGGTGCTAAGGTGGACAGTGCTGTAGTTTAAGGGCCTGGATCTTTCTTGGTGTAATCCTGACCTCACTTCAGAGGTGGAATATTTAGAGTTTAACTTGCACATAGTTTTGAGGAGATTGGAACATAACAAGAACGACATATGGCAAAGTTTTTTCTTAGCTGTCGGTGTGTGTGGAGCAAACAACAAAGTTACGTAAATAAATGTATGCAGTCTATTTGATTTGATATGTTTGACTATTTCCTTTTTTTTTTTCTCCAGCTGGTAACTGTGATCTCAGATACAACTCCTTCGTGTGTGAGGGTCAAAGAATGAGTAAGAGCCTGTTAATAGAGGACAGTGGGAGTTGTAAAGAAGGAAAGACAGGAATAGAGTCTGCCTGAGCATTTTTCTGTTCAGCTTTGGCAGCTCTGTAAAATGGAGCAAAGGATGAAAATGTTGATCCTGGCATTTGCTCTGGGCAGTTCTGATAGATTGAGTTGGATGATAGTAAATAGCCAGCTGGGAAGGGGTGCTTCCTGAGTGGTGAACCCTCACAGACTTGAGGGTCTGAGATTCTGTGGAAGGGTGTGAAGTGCTAGCTGTAAATTAACCGACAAGGAGTATTGTGTCCTTGTGGCTGAACGTGAGTGTATGTGTTTACTGTGCAAGGATCCTTCCCAGGGTAACTGTCTAGGATGCAGAAAAGTGGAAGTTCACTTGAAGGCCTTGCTGTGCTCACGGAGAACATAAATTTCTAGAATTGTTAAAGCTAAATCCTGAATATTCAAAATAAAGTTAGTTTGAATGCATTAGGTGAGGCAGTGTAGATTTTAAGGGAGTTACCTGCTATACTTGTTATCTTCTAACTGTTTTTTCAGTGGCTGTAGGAATGTACCAGTCAAAGAAATGTTTTTGCTTCTGTGGCTAGTACAGAATGTTCTAAAGCTTTTTTCTTTTTTCTTTTTTTCTCCCCACTCTAGAGGGAAGCTTGTAAGCAGAAAGCTGAGGTGTGGATGTACAACACACAGGCTGTTCTGCACAGGCTTCATCACTGATGATGTAGAGTCCTTGAAGTTTCTTCACATTAGCTTTCAAAGTAGTGTTCCTTGCACTTGAGTGTTACTGGTATCCGTGTGGAGAGTTAGCAGTAAGCGTAAGCAATGTGCCTGTTGCGTAGCAGGTAGCTTGTACAATCTGCAGAAAATATGATTTTGATTGTTTTACATAAGATCTCAGTCTGAATTTGGTTTTCCCTTTATGTGCCTATATAATTATTTTTTGTTTTATTTTAAGGATTGGACCTATCCCATGAGGAGGGAGATGCAGGTATGACATACTTTCATTTACCATTTGAGTCAAAACACATGGTGCGTTCAGTAAGAAAAAGAAAGTGCCCTACAAAAGAGCTGGTATCAAAATCAGTCTTTAGGAGTGAAGTGTCAGTCAGCACCATGGGAGAGGTGTGCGACAATTGCCAGCTTAGAGCGCAGGTGTGCTTGGATCTCAGTTGTGCAAGTACTAAAAAAAAAATGGTAATATTATCCTTTTCTTCAGAATCCCCCAAGTACTGTATTTTTGCTTTCATGAATGTTTTTAGGAGATGGTTGCTGAAAATGTATTGGAGCCTTGCTTTTTAACTGAAATTTGGTTGGAAATAAGTGTTCTCAAGTAGGAGCTCTGGACAATTTTTCTACCATGATGGCAGCCAAATCTTTGCACAAGATAAGATCTACAGACCTCCATGTCTTTATTGGTGGGGAGATAAATGGTTAAAAATTGGTATTTTCCTACTAGTAGGACAAAGCTAGAAGACTTACCATATGTCTTTTTCCGTGAGAGCGATTTGGAATTAATTGCAAGACAGGATTATAAACAAAGTTAGAGTTCCCTTCATTTGATCTGGGGCTGGGTAAGATGTAGTAATCAAATTGGAACTTAGTCCAAATAAAGGACTTGATTCCTGTTCCAAAACAAGATCTCCTGCACAAAGATCATGTTTCTTTTATTTTGCCAAACTGATTTTTTTTTTTCCCCTTGTCCTGTTATAAATGACACTTGATAGCACATCTCTCACTAATATGTAAATTACTTATTTCCATGGCCATAGTCTGAGTTGAGTGCAATGTCTTATTTCAAGTAATTTTGAGTTGGTATTAAATGTCTGTTTTTCTGCCCCCCCTAGGAAATTTTACCTGGGTTATTTTTAGGCCCATATTCTGCAGCTATGAAAAGCAAGGTATGATTTTCAGAATAGTGTCTCATACGGAAACTTTGCTGTGGTGATTTGTTACTGTGGCGCTATGTTCAAGTGTTTTCTACATAGGTGTAAGTTTGGTTGCAATCTTGAACTGGAACATGAAAGATGCCAGAGTATAAGTAATACATGGTGCATTTATGGGATGGTGCATTTATGGGATGGTGCATTTATGGGATGGTGCATTTATGGGATGGTGCATTTAGCCTGCAGGATTATCTGACTGGGGCCGGTGTTGATGCCTCCCCTTTCCAGAGTGAACCTGAACTACCGCCTCAGGCACATGCTGGGGCAGTTGACACTTACAAGGCTATGTTTTCCTTAACAATCTCGTGAGCTAAAGGGTTCTTGAGGAGAAAAATGAAAGAGAGCCCTGATGGATTTTTTTCATGTGGTTTGAAGTTGTGCATGCTCTCTCAATTCAGCTAGTCAGCTTTACCTACTCCTTTACCTAAACCACAGAAAAATGCAAGTTTGAAGTGACTTGCACCCTAATTGCAGCGAGCATTCATGTGTGAGCTTTTTGTATTAAAATTGAGTCTTATAGTTAAGCTTGAATATAATTTTTCTTAGAAAAAGGTAAAACGTTTGAGGCTTGCACATTGCTGATCAGGCAATCTATTTCCTTTGCTAAAGTGTTGCAATACAAATCAGAACTGGGAACTCACACATATGCAGTAAAATAAGGTAAATTGCATCTACAATAAAGGCAAGCACTGCTAAGGCAAAGCTTGTATCCGCAAGCTTGCCTCGTGCTTTAAGTGATCGTACTTTCAATGGGTCTGATTCCAGCAAGAATCCAATGCTAGCTGAAAATTACTACATCGTGTGGGGACATGCGATTTCAGGCATGAAAGTGAAAGGTGGGCAGAGACAAACAAGCTCATTGAATGCTGCCTTTACTGTCTGTTCTTTTTATCATTGTTAGGAATGCTTTTTCTTGCAGCTCCTAGTGGTTATGTTTTGTCTTTTTGAAAGACAAACTTTTTCAGTGTGCTTTGAATATTAGAAAACTAGCTCCGATTTTCTTTGAGGACATGATATAGCCCTATTGTGTATTTAAGTATAGCTTTTCTTTTTATTACTGTGCTATAGAAAAAATCTGTTTTTTTCTTTTTCCACAGCTACCTATACTTCAGAAACATGGCATAACCCATGTAATATGCATACGGCAAAACATTGAAGCAAACTTTATTAAACCAAACTTCCAACAGTTATTTAGGTGAGAAATGATCATAACATGCAGAACTGCAACAATGAAAGATTTTACTCTTAAACATCTTATTCTGTATTAAGGAGACTTTTTTTATGTTGGTGTTCTTTCCAAATATTTTCACATTGTCAAAAGTATTTGAAAAACGTGCTAAGGTGTAGGAAGACTCTTAAATCCAAACCATGAAGTTTATTCATCCATTCAACTCTAGACATAGACAGCACTGCAAATGAGAAGTATCCATTAGTTTACAGTGACTGTCTTCAGTTTTGAAGTTGTTAGTTCTGAGTACAGTTTGTCCTGCTAATAGAACATTTGAGGTAACTTAATCAGAATGTGTGTACCTCTGAAAAGGAGCCCCAGAAACGAACACTGGCCCGTGTTTACAAACCGATGGGGAGCATGTGAGTATGTAATACACTGCTTTCAAAGAGAGTTGAGTCACCTGTAACATAGCACTTGTGAATTTCTTCCACTCCGAGAGGTGCTTTTGTCAGGGGATGTTGGCGGAGGTTCCTCGCTTACTTCCTTGTAAGGACAGCTCCAGAGGTTGCTTGTTTGTAGATGTTCTGGATCTCAGACCAGAAAGTAAAGGCGGGAGAGTAGTGCTGGCTTCCTTCTGCAGGTTTGGGTATTGTAGCAGGGTTGAATCAGCTGTGTGTGTACAGGTGGCAGCAACTCAGTGTTATTGTGTACTCATAGCAACTGTTTTCATTGTAGGTATTTAGTCTTGGATATTGCAGATAATCCAGTTGAGAATATAATACGATTTTTCCCTATGGTAAGTATTTGCGTGTTAATGTGAATGATTTGGGAATGGAATTGCCCAGTAAGAGGTTTTCTGAACTAACAGACACCAAATTTCAAATTTGGGATACCCAGCCTGAGGCACCTAGAAGGGCTGAGAACTCTTAAGTGACCTAATTATTGCCACTTTAGTAAGTGTGATTAACTCCTTTTTACAAGTATAGAAACTGAGGCAGAGTTGTAAGAGATGTATCTTATTATGGTCTCAAAAAAAAAAAAAAAGACTGGTCTCAAAACAAAAAGAAAACAGGTCATGGGAGAATGCTAGTTATTTTGGAAACCCTTGGCCTGTAGGAAACTTATTTTTTGAGCCCAGGAGTATTTACATTTCCTGTATCAAATACTAAAATTCAGCAGAAAATAGTAACTAGTTGGTGTAACTAAGTTTTACAGCACCTTGAAACGTGTTTACTATAGAGGAATTAAAAAGTAACTTTAAGTTAAGCAGTATCCATTGCAAACTGGCATTTGGAAAGAGAATAAACCCTGAGTTTTGAGCCGTGGTTTTGTATCCTTATTTTAGGTTAGTTTGCAACAGAGGAAAAACATTTTGTTCCTTCCCCCACCAAAAAGCTCTTCTGGCTTCCCTGTATGTGGCAGAGGTGGTCATGTTTTTGCAGAACAAGAAGGCAAATCAGTTGATGGCTTGCAGCTTTTCTGAAGTATAATGCCATTTGAGCAAACAACATCCTTTGCAGACCTCGCAGTTACTGACATCTTAGTAGCTCTGTGTTGGTATATTTTGAAGAGTTTAATCTGAGTTTTCCCCACTATAAATTATTTAGCTTTTGCTTTTCATCTAGTCATCTGTTTCAACCTGGCAGTATTCCACAGACCTCACTACATCACGTCTCACCTTATAGATTGATTAGACCTACTTTTATAACTGAAAAGATCATTGGAGAACTTCTAGGAAGACACAGGTGTCAATAGTGTGGTCCAGGCCATATTGGTGTTGATGCGTGTGTGTGTGCGTTCCCCCTCAGCCCCCCCACTGTTAAGCAAAGATGTTTGGAAGTTACTTTTTATTATAGTGGCGTAACATGTGACATAGAGATTGTAAAAGGCACACGTACTGGATTTTTATGCATTTTTGTTTCTGGCTTCATACTAGTTTTTCACTGACAATTTTATGGATAGTTAAAAGTACAAAAGAAATATAAATGTCCAGTTGAAGTGATGTCTAAGTCTGTATAAACTGAGAGCATTATTGTCACTGTATATAAAGACTGATACAAAAATTCTACCAAATTTAAATGCAAGTAGCAGTAACATCTAGAATAATCTGAAACTTTGAGTCTTGTAATTTTTTTTCTTTTTAGACTAAAGAATTTATTGATGGAAGTTTACAAAGTGGAGGTAAAATCATATTAACTTTTTTCCTTCATTTACTAATCCATTGTTGTTAAAGCTTTAAAACCAACTTAGTGGTATGTATTAGAGGCTCTTAAGTATGAGGTTTTCTTAAATTTGGGGGTTTATCGTGCTTGACTTGAACTATATTATACAAGTTTAGAGCAAAGTGTTCTTTCCTTTTGCCTCTGACTGGAAAACAAACCTCTTTGTATATCTGTGTTGTGTGGGGTTTTTTTGTTTTGGTTTGGTTGGTTTTTTTTTTTTTCACTTTAAACACAACTGTGTTCTGTGCATGAGGGTTTTTTTGTCCCCTCTAACGTAGGGCCTTAAATCTGCATTGTGGTCCTGGAATGCAGATTCTGTTACTCAAAATCCTCAGAGGAGCAGAAATCCATGCTTCTGTACCCCAGGGCAGTAGTGGACAGAGTGTAGTTAGTAATCTAGAGTGAAGCAAGACACACCTATTATTCTTAGGATGTACCTTGCTACTGTGTAGTTCTCCATAACAAGGCAAAACTACATTTCAAAGAATTTTCTTCAGTCTATATAAGTATGGTTGGTTGTTTTTTTCTCTCCTTCTCAGGAAAAGTTCTTGTCCATGGAAATGCAGGGATTTCTAGAAGGTAGGAAACTATCCGTCCTGCTTATTAATTTTTTTAAAAAATGGAAATGTATTTTACTGATTTTTTTTGTTTGTTTGTTTCTTTTCAGTGCTGCCTTAGTTATCGCATACATAATGGAAACATTTGGGGTGAAGTACAGGTAAGAACAGAGCGTGGTCATGTAGTTAACCATTTGTCTGAAAAGGCTGAAGTGAGAGAGTACTTTAGTACAGATAAGGAGTCTGATACATCTGTAGGTATTCATTTTTTTAATTCAAGTGATGTAAGTGAAAAATAATTTTGGAGGGAACGTAAACAGTTGTGTATTGATGCGTAAGCCAGTTGTTACCTACTGAGATTGAGTGAAGACTTTACATGGGGCAGATTGTTCCATTTCACTTCACTGCAGGTTTGTTTACCTCCTTTCTTTAAGAAGAAGTAGGTACCTGCTGCTAATGGAAACAGGATACCAGCCTGCATAGTTTTACAACAAGGCATCAGTCTATAGGAGAGGCCCCCAGAAGCTGTTCTAAGTAGTGTGTTGAAAACAGGCCAGCAAGCTGAAGAGAGGAGGTGGGGGTGGGCAAATAGTGTTTTACAACTACTGCTTCCTATTTTGCCCAAACAATTTCAGTTATACAGACCAGTTCTGAGGAGCGCTTAGAGGTTGTGTGTTTCCTAAGAACTGATAATCGGAAGGAAGACTCCTGAAACCACAGAGACTTTTGTCACAGTCTGTTTTCCACTGAAGTATTTGCTCTCCCCTTCTCTTTTTAAGGGACGCATTTACTTATGTTCAAGAAAGAAGATTCTGTATTAATCCTAATGCTGGATTTGTCCATCAACTTCAGGTGACTTTTTGTTTTTTCTGGTTGTAACTCAAAAGCCATTTGATGAATCATCTTCCTGCAAAACAGCTATTTCTACTTAAGCTTACCATTTACTGTAAAAATATGCTTCAAGTAAATGTCAGAAGCTATAGTAGAGTTTGGGAGGAAGATGAGTGGGTACCCTAGTTCATTAGACTTAAGCTTTAGACAAAGCAAATCCAGGAATGGAGGAGAAAAAAATCATGGGTTTTGCAGTGATTAAGAGGCTCTGAAACAGGTTAATTGGTGGCTAAGGAAGCTGCAAAGTGAGTATTGTGGCACACATTAGTGATGATTCTTCACACTTGCATTCATAGGTGATGAAATTCATGAGTCTGAAACGGCAAACAGCAGTATCATGAAATTGCTTTATCATATTCCAGGAGTCTATAGGGTGAATAGTAGGCAAACATCAGGACAGTGTGTTGAAACAGATTTGCAGTGTCTTGCTATTACTTAGGTGGCTGGCAGCAAGGTGATTCATCAGGAGATGAATATCTCCTGAGTTTGGTGTGTGTTTTTTTTTTTTTTAAAGTAACTCCTGCGAGGAGTTGTTGTGTAGCACTGAAAGTGTGACAAGTCACTAGAATGCAACTTCAAGGCCATGTATGGTTTGTCCTTGTAACAAATCTCTGAAGCTACAGTATTCTAAGTTTGGTTTGTTTCTACTGTCTGAATTGCCTTCTGGGAGCAACAATGAGTTCTCTGAGCATTCTCACAGAATTTTTTTAATGAAAGTTGACTTTCTTCCTTCAAGCCATTTCTTGTCATCCTTTAAGTTTTCTTTTGTTCTGTCATCCTGACAGTTTTTGTGGCTCACGTCAAAGCAACAAAGAATTCTCCTCTAAAATCTCTGCCTTACTATAAGATGATCTCTAGTCCATCCTAATGAACTCTCTGAATTAGTCCTTCTCGTCCTTACAAAGCATTATGCCAAATTAATAGCAATATGTATTATTAAACTTTTTCAGGAATATGAAGCCATCTATCTAGCAAAATTAACCATCCAGATGATGTCACCACTGCAGTTGGAGAGATCCCTCTCAGTTCCACCTGGTACTACAGGTCAGAAGCCTCTCCTGTTGTGTGTGATGCTGCCTGTCTTACCTGGTGTTGTGAGGTGACTTTTGCACTCCCTAAGTAAACCTCCAGAATCTCAAACTTTTGGGAAGGGGATGGCTGCAGTTGGTGTGCAAGCCATGTTCAAACTTCAGTATGCAGTACTTAAATATTCTGTTCTCTTATGGTTGAACTTTCCTGTGGTGTTGTCCGCACTTCCATACCATACTGGAGAAGGGCCCTGCCTCTCCCTGTCCTTCAAAAACCCTGAGTTCCCCAGAGGAATCAAGAGTGACAGGTTGAAAGCAGCCAATGTTCATGACATAATTGCTGCCCCTATAATTAAGGCCGTTGCTCTGAAAAAACCTTTTGCTGTGCCTTTAAAAAGGTAACAGGGGATTAGGGCATGAAAAATGTTACTTTAATCATATAGAGGTGTGCCAGTAGCAACCCCTGCTAAAGATCAGTGAAAATGGAGTTTGGGGGGACATGTAAAGGCAGTGCAAAAATGGTGGATTCTAGGAAATTTCTCTTCCATGGGGAGAAGTGCAAGGGAAGAAGAGTGCTGTCAGCAACTGGCTGTCCAAAAGCTGAATGCCTTCAAAGGGTAGAGTCCTTGCAAGAAGACAGTAACAACTGCCCTGTAGTCCTACTTACAGCTGTGTATTGTTAGAGCTGATCTTTTGCCTTTTGCAGGAAGTTTAAAGCGAATGCATGAAGAGGATGAAGAGCTTGGAACCATGCAAGTGGCAGCAGCACAGAACGGATGATATCTGAGGACAAGCACTGTTTGTATTGCGAATTCCTGCCAAGAAAAGTGAAGAAAGCTAGGGAAAAAGAATTAATAATGCAAAATGATGAACACACACATAGCTTCTTTTCAATTACATGTTGCTTTCAGATGTAAATCTGCCTCTGCAACACACTAAGCATCATTTTTAAGATGTTGGACTTCTTGAATGAATAGATGGCACTGATTGTTTTACTCCTTTTTTACACTTTACAGTTTTATTCTAAACCAAGATTTTTGGACTTGCAAAGAGGTATTATTGCAATAATGCACTTTTCATACTTGAAATTTCTTTATTTGTATGATATAAAGTTATTACTTTAAACAAAATGCAAGCTGGGGGGATTTGTTTATAAAGTTATTTGTGTAATTTATAACAAGAGACTTTAGTAAAGAAAAAGTTTGCTAAAATTCACCTTGTTCTCAGTATATATTATGGTCATGCTTGTAGAAATGCACTTTATGAACTGCACTCTGCCCTACTACTGGCAATTGAGCAACAGTGGTGATCTAATCAGTATTTAACTCCTTACCTTGTTATAAAACCTCATTATATACTGAATTATTTTGAGACTGACACTCAGACCAATTTAAGATAAAATACTGTTCTAAAAATCTCACCTTGTTTTATACAGGTTAAAGTTTAACAGAGTACTGATTAATTACTTAATAAAATAGTCATGTGCTGAATTAATATAGGGGGCAGCTACCAATTTTACACACATCAAGAATGATTCTTTTAGGTAGCATTAAAAAGCTGCTTGTTAAATTAGTTATAGGTTGATTTAAGTGGAATAAGTATGGTCCATCTGTCTACTAGAATAGTGCATCTTCAAACTAGTATTGAAGGAGTAGTTCCCTTTGTAAGACAATAGAGGTAAAAACTGGGTTGGTGTTTGAAAACTGAGGCCCAAAGCACTGGCCGTAATAGTATCAAGACCTAAAGGATTCACCTCAGCTCTTCTAAAGCATTAGAGTCAATTAAGGCCATGGACTTACCAGTGCTTTAAAGTTTTCAAATTGGGAATTGCCAAGGCAGTTTGTGCAGCTTTAACTCTTCTCCCTTCTCAGAAGCACTGTGATAACCACTGGTTGTGCAAGTACAGTCTCAGTTCTGCATCTCTGCTTTATTTGCCAATCGGCCTGTTGCATAAAAGAGTTGAATGAAATGATGGCTGCTGTAGAGTGCTGTGGTGACTGAGCGAATTACAAAGCTATTAGAAGAATTTGTGTGTTTGGGAAATCTGAGCTTGTAATGAGACTATATTTTAACAGGGAATAGGTGAGCTCAAGAGAGTTGAATTGATATAAAAGACAGTTGGGGATCTGAGCATCCAGGTATCTCCCTGTACTCTGATACGGCTGTGTGTGAACAGCCAAAGTCCTCTGTCAGCCTCGGAATGAGCGACCTGTGCTGAGGGGGACTCTCTGAGGGCAGATATCTTTGAATTTGAAGGCATGAATCTAAACAGTGAAGCCACTTTGTAGTGTGAGGATCTCTTCTGATGCTGCCTTTTGCTGGAGGATTGTCCAGCAGCTTGTTTACTTTGTAGGAGCCTGTTTACTTTGTAGGAGCCTGTTTACTTTGTAGGAGCCTGTTTACTTTGTAGGAGTCCTGCCTCACTTTGTGTATTCAAGGCAAGTTGACCACGCCTGTGACTTGCTGATCTTTCTTAGTCACTGATCCTCTGCCTTGTCTTGCAGCTCCTCGGAAGGCTCCCTGAGGGGCAGTGCCTCCAGAGCAAGTCTGAGCTCTTGTGTCAAGGCTCTTACAAGCAGTTAGTTTGAAAACTACTGCCTGGATTAAAGCATGCTGCTGGAACAGATGTTGGTGACACCTGAGGAGGAAATCCTGCTGCAGGAAGTCAGGGCTTTTAGCTGAGCCAGGACAGCTGGGTGAGGCTTTATAGCCTAATAACCTCTTCTCCTGTGGAATGTGAAGGGATGGAGTGCTGCACATGGGGAGGGTTCACAGCTTCAGTGGAGCTGAACCAGCATGCAGCAGCACTTTACTCCTCTCTGTCCTCTGCCACCTACCTCGGTGATGGAGCAGTGCAAATCCTTCAGAAAACAATCTTTAAGAAATGTATGATGCTTTTAGATGGAAAATTTTCAGCTTGAAAAAAGGAAGTGTTACTGTTACCTCCTTAAGAACTACAACTTGTCAGTGTTAAGCTGTCTGGCTAAGCATGCAGTGCTGGTTTTGCAGTTGTAGGGTTTATTATGTGCTGTTAACTGACTGACTTTAAAAGCGTGCTTCTAGGGCTGTTGGGAAATGCCTTCTCAGATGTTTCACCACTTACCCCACAAGGCCACCACATGGCTGCAGTAGGGTTTGTGGATGTCTGTCTCTTGCATGGCTCACCAAATGCTGCCAGCTACGAGCTTCTGGTGAAACAAGGATGGGAACCAGAACTTCTGTGTAAAATTGCTTTCTATTTCAGCTCCCTTGGGGTCCCTTGTGAAGGGGCAGAGATGAAGCACAGATGGAAGAACACTCTTGATTCATCCAACTATCCCCTGCCAGAGGGGCGTGTTCATGTGTAGTCTGGTTCTGTTATCTCACTGGGGTCCTGGTACTTCCCTGGGGAGACTTTCACAAACTAACAAGCTTCATGACTAAGGATTTTCCACCAGCCTAATTTTTTTTCATGCCATTACCCCCTACTGATGCTTCTGCAGTCATTCTGCTCTGTCTGCTGCCTTGCAGATAACAGCCTCAGATCCTAAGGGATTCTGAGATTAGTTTTCCTCATATCTATCATTAAGCCTTTTATTTAAAACTTCTTGACATCTGTCTCATTGAGCTTACTGCTAGTAGGTATTTCAATTACTGGGGTTAAACCACAGGTGGTAATTGCCAGCAGGGGTCCCTCACTGTGGCCTTCGAGTATCAGCAGAGGTTGAATTTTTTTTTTCTTTCCCCCTTCCCCAGGTTCAGACACAAAGCTGCAGTATCCCGATCTTTGGGGAGCCACAGCTCTTATGTTGAGGTGCTAAAGTTCCCTTTGCCAGTTTAGGGGAAGCAGAGTGAAGGAGCTGGAGATCTCTTCCTCATGGCAGGAGAGGTGTTACCCAAAAAATGAAATCCTGAGGAGGAGGTGACACTAAACCTCTGGAGAAACTGGTAGTTATGTTATGTTGATTTCCAACAAGATCTGTGGTTCCTTTGTTCCCTGGGAGGGGGAGGTCTTGCTCTTTTCTGTTGAGCCAATTGTACTGTAGATAAATTAACAGGGCTTCTGCAGTTTAGGAGAGGCATAATAACAATTTTAATACCACCTTTTGCTGTTAAACGCTGTTATTTTTGGCATGTTCTTGGTTCCTGTGAACTGTGACAGTTTAAAATACATATACCTGCGTACTAGGTGTTCTTCCAGCTGGCTGGGCCATGCCTGAAACCATGGTGGCCTTTGTAAGTCCCCAGCACTTCGCAGAGACGTTCCCGTTCACCAGGGTGGGCAGGGTGTTCAGTGCATTTGCTGGCTGACGCTTCCAGGGCCTCTGCTGGTAACGGGATGGTTTCTGCCCTGCAGCTCACACCCACAACCCTTTGCTTGTGTAAAAGACAGTACACCGAGTCCAGTCGTCCCTCAGAGGGACTCCTGACAGCGTAGCCTAGCTGTTCACAGGCAGCAGGTGACGGTACATCTCAACACGAAGCTGTTGACCACAGGGGTGGTAGCCTGCCAAGGCTGGGAATGTCACCTCTGGTACAGAACAAAGAGCTCTTCAAAGCTAAAGGGACAGTGATGAGCTGCACTCCTCCCAGCAGAGGCATTGTCATGCAGCCACAAAACCAAGCTTTCAACCTAATTTGTTTGTTTTACAATGATCTAAGCTGGGTACACAATCACCTGCTCCTCACTTGCACTAATCTTTTCATTAACTCTTAATGAGGGCCTGAAGCTATTTAGATGGTATAGATATCACAGAATTCAAACAATCCACTTTAAATTAGTGGAAATTCAGAATTAATTAAAACTGTGACAGGCAAGAAAAATCCACCTCAGTCATTTGGGCCCAGGATAAATCAGTAGTTGATTTTATACAATTCAGTATAAAGTTCAGAGTTGGGGCTCATGGCACTTAGACCTTCTGTCAGCAGAGCACACCTGGGAGGAGCCCAGTTCTCCCTCAGGGGAGAACACCCCTAAGAAAATGGGGTGCCTAGGCCTAATTAAGTGGGTTAGAAACTTCATCCTGGCTCCGAGACATGCAGGTCTCCATCTCTGCGCCCTGCTCTTGCTTTCTCAGCGGTCCTGGCATGGTGTCCATGTCTGTAAGCAATTGAGCTGTCTGGATGCACACCTCTGGTCGCAGGGTTTGTGCCTGCAGGCAAAGGCTCCAGTGCCAGAACAAGCTGAGAATTTCCTTTGAAGACTCACTTCATGCCTGCAAAGATGCAAATGTGCATCAGACACATGCTTAAAGTCAACATGGAGTCTCAAAAAGTGTTCTTTTCAGTCTAGGAAAACAAACATATTGGCAGCAGGCAGTACTGTTCTGAAAGACAACAGGTACGCGCTTACTCTGGATATCTACCGCTAGGCACAACACAGCCACATGAAAAAGAGACCAGATACCTTTGGCAGTCTTCATTTATTCAGCTTAAACAAAGATTTTTTTTAAAAAATAATCAATAAATTAAACAGACATCACCAAGGAAACACTATATTGAGTGGAGTACCATCAGGAACATTAAATAGAACCCCCACCACAGCTTAAAGTAGCTCTCCACACCACAATGAAAGAACATTTTGTAAGGCCTAACTGTTCACAAACAAGACTGGCTGTTCTGTATCATAATGCCCTATTCATAGATGTAGGATTTGTCACTCTCTCCGCACAAAACACTACTGTTGGAACCAGGGCTTTGTACATTATTTGCTTGCCATCACTGGCAAAAGTGCTAAAAATCATTTATCCAATCTTACAGCAAGAGGGATGCTCCAAAGCAGCAACAGTCCCTCGGGACCGGGATCGGGGGTTTCTCTGCCGTTACCAGCAAACCCACAGCCCACCTGGCCCTCAGGAGCTCAAGCACAGCCAGCCGGCCGGGCGCGCTCGGTGAAGCTGAACGCATTACTGCCGCCTTACAGATACAGGCAGCCACTGCCAATCCCAAACCACCGAGTACAGCCAGAGCCCCGCTAAAGATGGGGTGTATTCTGTCAGACATTCCCGTCTGCCTTTGCCCTGTCGCCAACCATCGGGTTATATTTTTGTGTCAGAAAACAAGTAATTATCCTGAAAACAAAGTTATCAGCTAAAGTGCAGGACCCCTGCAGTGAGAAGTACACATCCCTTTTTAGACTCGGAACATCAGCTATATTCTAGCCCATAAGGATTCTCCCCTACCCGCATCAATAGTTACAAGTTCAGTTTTGGAAAATAGTGCTTATAAAACTTCAGGTACGCTAACACCAACAGCTCTTCAGTGAGGTTTCATGGAAAGAACAGAACAAACGCCCATTCTGTATCGCTAATTCTGCATGAGAGAAGCCTCATCCCTCCCCGAGCTACGTCATCCTTCCGTGAAGTACAGACAGGAGAACAATCCCGCGAGCTGTACTTTGGCTACCAAGAAAAGAAGCACAAACCTTTAGAAAAATACAATGCAAGAAAAAATTTGAGATAAAAATATATACCTTTGGTTAAAAACCATCCCTTTAACAAGAGTCCTTTGTAACTCAGCTAGAACAAAAAAGCTTCACTTAGACTGAACAGTAGTAAAAATTAGTTCTAAGCGCTTATTTCCTAACCCAAAGGACCCTTCTAAAACGTCAGTAATTTTTTTTTGCAGGATTTACACATTTGATGTTCATTATTTATAGGGATCATTATATTTGCAGCAGTAAACTATATAAATTTTCCATGAAGAGAATGTTTGTAGCACAAGCTCCTCCACCAACAGTCTTTACAAAAAAAAAAAAAAAAAGACTAGAAGTTCTTAATTAAAGAACCGTTGAAACATGTAGTTTTCTTCAGATACCGAATAGCCAAACTTTTTATAGAAATCCACATTTTTTGGCAGACACTCAAGCGTAATTTTGTAACAGTTCAGTCTCTTACTTAGCAATGTCAGGGTGGACGTTAATCTGAAAAAGACAGAAAACCAACAGGTAAATGAAACGGCCCTGAATGCTGGACCAATTAACATTTAATTCGCTAAAGTTATCAGACCTACAATACTGAAGTTTTACAGCGCTCTGCATTTTCTTTCACTACGCAGGATAGTTGCTATCCCAAGAAAGAAAGAACAAAGCACCAGCATCTTGCAGACAATTTTATGTTACTGTTAGAAGAACCTCAGCTTGCACTCTGCCAGCTAGCAATACCTTCCGGCTAAACTCCTTTCACGTGTCTGGCTGGGAGACTGAACGGTAGTAAAAATTCATTCTAAGCACTTATTTCCTAACCCAAAGCTGCCCTGCAGCTAACCTGCAGAGTTAAAATCCTGCTCTCGGAGGTCTGGCGAGCGATCTTTGCCAGCTCGTTTGCTGGCGCCCGTCAGCGTGGTAAGGTGGGGGGACAGAAACCAACCGGGTGAGGGCTTGCTGCCCTGCCTGCTGTTGAACGGCAAAGGCGGTGAAATACTTACAGTTTACCAAGCTGCTTTCCTCTGCACTCCCCGCTTACTACTACATCTTCTATCCTTCCTCTCTGTGAAAATACAGGGAAGCGTTAGTCGAACAGAACACTGTTGGCGTTAGTTTCCTTACTGCACTACATTTCATGCTTGGATTTTCTGCTGTCTATTCAGATACAACTCCTCCGGTGGTTGAATTGCTCGTAACGCCCCTTCCAGCACCCAGCAGGAGCTGTGGTCCCACCACGGCCTTTCCCCGCTGAGGCGTTTGTAACTCCAGCTCCCCGTTTTCACACGTCTAGCTGGGACTCCACAGCAGCGAGATCCTCAGCCATCTGCTCTGTCAGAACCAAGCCTGACTAGTTCAAAAGCTCACTGGGAGGGGGAAGAGGACAGACATCAAATTGCTTTTTTCCTTAAGAAAAGCCAGAGCTCCCTTTTATTATTTAGCTGAGCACCCAAGGACGTGAGATATTTTTGAAGTGTCTTTGTAAAGTGCCTTTTAAAGGCACTGACTCAGCAGAAGGTACTTCATCACACAGTAACAGCATAAAAATAAAATGCACGGAGTCTGGGGATGGGATCTTTTTCCTCAGTTTACAGCTGCAGCGAGAGAATATACCTTTGCACAGGAGTGAGTGAACTTATGTTCTATAACCAGCGTTGCCGTGGCAACAATCTGTCCAAGATTTGTGTCTTCGACGACAGTAACGTAGTAATCTCCAGATCTCTTCATGTGCTCAAAGGTTTCTGTGGGAGCAGACAGACAGCAGAAGAGTCACTGTTAATTTCAGATTAAACTGCGGTTAAGTCTAACACTTGCAACAGATTCTGAATGCAGGGTTCAGGATCACAAGAAAGATGCGCCCAAGACCCCAGAACCTGAAAGCCCTGGAGTCAGACTAACCCAGAGACAGAACCAGGAAAAAGCAGAAATTAAACAAGTGCCTTTTCCTTAGTTGTCAGGAGAACCCTCCTTCCCCAGCCTCTCTGCAGATGGGCGCTACGATGAAGGTGGCAGTACTTCTAAGTCTTCTTACATCCCAGTTCAATCTGTGAAGCAAGCTCAGGACGCTGTTGAGCTATGATCAAAGGCAAGCCTCTGCCTTGCTACCGGTGCTGCAATAATTCAGCCAAAACAAGCCATCACCCAGTAGTCCTTTCTGCCAGGTATCTAAAGCTCAGTCTCAAAAGCAGGTATACAATTTAGGCCTGTCCCAGCCAAGAAGCCCTTTGGGATAGCTGCAACCGGATCCAACGCTGAGTGCCAAAGGCTGCCTCAGGGGACCTGAGCTAATAAATCCCTCTGGCATCAGGCAGTCGGGAGCCTCACACCCAAGCAGCTTTGCTGTCAGCATCAGTATCCTCTGGTTCCCAGCAACCTCTACGGAAATGCCAAGAAATAATGATGTACTCACTGATAAACTGCTCTGGGCTTGCAACTCCAGTTTCAGTCAGCTGACCCAGAACCTTAAAAAAGCCTGTTACAAAAGAAGGGGGGAAAACCAACCCTCAGTGAGGGACAGAGACGCACAATTAATAACACAGAACAACCCGACACGGCTGTTTGGAGAGTTAACACCCCCACCGCACCATCCAATTCAGTTGTATGTAAAAGCCTGCGCTCTGCATATTATAGAACTAGACTGTAATCTTAAAATCAAACTCCCGCCTTGAGCGATGCTGAAGGATCAGCTAATGCATCAGCAGCAAACTGCAGCTTGAGTGCCGAAGAGGCGTACATTCAAGAAAGAAAAATATAAGCCTGAAATTATGCGATATTAAGCTGTATGTTCAGAACAACCTTTTTATCCAAGTTACAGAACTGAGGAAGTCTCCACGCACTAAGAATAATATGCTGGTTCACATTATTTTTATATTCAAGGGAACAATATGAACAGCTGTACTCCCTTCTCTAAAGCTGTGGTGAGTAGGAAGCTGTGGATTATTTGGAAGATTTGACTTGAATTTTAAGACTGTCTTTGAGGTTATTGAAACAGTAAAACCAATTTTGAGGGGCACCCAACACAGCACCAATCCATGGTGCCAAATGCTCAAATTCCTTACTGATAAAAATAACCCAAATCAGATAAAACGAGCAATCCTAATCTATTGAGAGATCATGCAGAAATACGTATTATCTAGTTCAGCACCCAGCTTTCATTGGTGATGATCATTAAACAGGATTCTACCTCGATTTAAATCAGCTGTGCAAAGTGGTCTCAAAACTAGGCCATCTCCCGGATCCAAAGGAGAAATAGCAGGAGAAAACGTCGTCGTGTTCTCGCTCCAGTCCAGCTCATGCAGAATATTTGGGTCAAACATCGGTGTGTCGTCAGGCATCACGGTTGCAACAGGCATCATGGCTGCAACAGGTCTTCTGGAACAGAACGCACACGGGTAAGGAACATTTTGGATTGCTCTTGTTTTAATCTCTAAATATGCTATTTCCCCTGGTTATATCATGCCATGTGATGTTCCTCAGGGTCGTAAAGAAAGGTGAATGAAACCAGAACTGCTGTTCACTTTATCTCCAATTGAAGCTACTCAACCTTCACCGGACTAGACCGCTGGGTTAAACAAAGAGCGTGCACACTGACACCGTGCACGTTATCTGAAGTCAACACGTGGCACTTTTGTGTTCATCTGGGAAGTTTTTTCTCTTGAAAAAAAAAACCAAAAACAAAACAGGTAGGACACTGAGTAGGATATTTAACCTCTACAGCCCTCTGAAAAGGAAAGCACCTCACACTCTCAAGAAACCTCCCTAACATACTGTTTATTGAGTATAGAGGAGATCATTTGCATTAGTGTTCCATTTAAAACTGGCGGTAGGAATAGTACACTTTTTTCAACCAATCCTATCACATAAATATTCAGTGTCTCAGCCAAGAGGCACTACATCACACATATGAAAACACAGATGATACAACAGCCTGCACGCACGCTTACAGCCTGTGCTGCGTTTCTCATGCAGTCATGTTTGCTCGGTGTATTTACAAAATCTAATGCCATCTCAGCTGTAAAGCGCAGCGCCTCGTTGTCTGTTAACAGGTAAAACGCAGAACTGCCAAGATGACGGTGAGACACCTGTTAATGATTAAAGAGAGATTTGGGAATTGTGCGTTATTCGCAATTGGAGATAAAAGGAAGCAAACGGATATATTTTCTTAATATCTAGATATAGGAAAATAATTCTTATTCTGTCACCTGTGGAATACCTGGTCAGGTTTCTGGTATGAACAGAGCATATCATGGGAATCTCTCCTGAGACCAAGTTCTTTATACATCTTCAAATTAACTTAGCTGCACCATAAGTAGTTGCATACTGTTGGATAGGCCAAATAAACATCAGAAAGAAAAATGTATTTGGGATGAATGCTTTTCAAAGTAAGACATCTTGCAGCCCTGTTATGCTGCTCAGAGAAAATACAGAGGATGTTAGCTATGAAGCATCTCAGCGTAACTGCAGCATGCGAGCCTCAAAACTGAAGGTGGCTCTGGAAACCCAACTGAAAAAGCTTCTTTAAAAAGAAAAAAACAAACCCACCACAAAATCTTTTTTTTATGCCACCTGCTGGTATACACTGGCCTTTAAATCCCCATTCTCATCTCAAACTTGCATATAAAAGTAAAAGAAATTGCTGTTATAGCAATTAAATAGCAATACAAATTCTCATCCCACATGAATTTTCAAAATGAAACAGCGGGAAAAATGAAGTGCAAAGAAAAACATTTCTATAGTCGGGAGAGTCAGAAGTGAGAATCCCGGTCTTCTGAGTCCCAGTCCCGAGCTTTAGTGATCAGATCACACTGATTCGTGCGGAGGACTGCAAGCCCATCGCCAGCATATTAATTATGTCACTGCTAAGCAAAACTGAAGTCTCCCTGGTCCCAGCAATACATTTGGCATCTCTGTTCCTAGATCTCGATTATTCTCATGTTGCTGTTACCCTGTCCCGTTACAAAGCCTTCCTAGAATTCATGAGTGTTCATAACAACATTCAAATAGTATCCTGTACAGAATAAAATAAATCTAATTCATTTCAGCTCAGGGTTACTGAATATCAAGCACACACAGCAGCAGAAAAGCACATGAAGGAAATAAAATTTTTGATGCTCTTCAAGCAATTAGTGTTATTTTTCAAACTACATCCAGCACAGCTGGAGCAGGAAGAAGTTTGAAGCTTCCCGCATTTTCGGGAGTCAGGAATATGACTTACTCCATAGAAATGCGTTTGCCAATTGAAAAAAGGATCAATGTAACACAAGGAAGAAGAGCTCCGGCCTGTTTTGATGGGTTGCTGGTTTTCCCTCCAGGCCTGCTGAGCTTACTCCAAGACCAGGTGCTGCCCCTGGAGCACACCTGAAGTCTCCCCTGGAGCATCCCGGGCTCCCCATCCGTGTCGGGAGCGAGATGGGGCCATGCCAGCGCCCACGGGACACATTCGGCCCCTTTTGCCCATTCCACCTCCCTCTGTTCCGCTGTGTTCCGGGGAGCGAGCACGGTATGCCTGGGGTCCCCCCGAGATGAGCTGCCTACCCAAGGGGGGCTGGTGGGTGCTCGGCCAGACCTCTGCCGGCTCCCCAGCTGCGGGGGACAGGGCGAGAACCCTGCCCCGAGGGGCAAGGGACAGCCCCGCATGGCCCCTCAGCGGGGTCCCCACCTGAAGAAGCCCCCTCGGGATA